TGCCTTTGCTTGCTTTTCTCTGCCGAGAGAGCCATAATGAGAGCATTCAAGTTCCTTTCTCCCATCCTTCTATAGCTGAAGCTTTGGCAGTAATCCAGCTTCCGCCTGGAGAGGCACTAATTGCTGGTGTGGCAAGGGCTTCTCAAAGACCCCACCATCCCCTAAGTGTCAAGATCAAGGGCAGCCGTTTGGGATTCCAGGGTGCTGGCCCCAAGCTGGGTGGCATCTTGCAGCAGCGTTCAGATTGTGTGTGTGTGTGTGTGTGAGAGAGAGAGAGAGAGAGAGAGAGAGACGCACACACACACACAGTAGGTTTAAAGAAATGACAGTGGCAGATATCATACTGTATCTCTGCAGACCCTGATCTTCCTTGTTCTGCTAGGCCAGGCACTGGCCCATAACAAGCAGCCAGTGCGTAGCTACTAATTGAGTAAGACTCAATTAAAGCTGGTGGAGGGCAGGAGCATCTGCCAGCTACACAGAGCCCCCTGCCTTTGGCTAGGCGCCATGCCCTGTGCCCAGGGGCAGCCACGTCTGATGTTCCGAGGGAGGCTGAGCCCCCGCCCACAGCGCTTCCTCCTTCTGGAGCCCTGCACACAGTCAGCCCGCATGGCCCACATGCTCATGAGCAGCCAGTCAAGCCAGGCGAGTTCATGGGAATCAGCAGAACGAGGAGAGGCCCCAGTTGGAATAGGACAGAAAGAGCAGGGTGCCTTCCCTGATCTTGTGGGGATGAACTCTTACAGGGCTCTGCGCCCCTGAAGTGTTGGGAATTCTGTGGAGCGCTGGGTGCTCCCTGCCCTGTGTACATGGATTTAAACATTGAACACGACATAGATGGAGATGGACCCATAAAATTCATATAAAGTAACACATGTAAAATGCTGTAAAGGCACATTAAGTCAAAGGTGGAAGCTTTGATTGAGTCACATTTGAAATAAATGGAATTTTAGACTCTTTTCCCTCCCCGCGCGTCTTCCTTCTCTCTCCCTGGGTTCAGTCATTTCACAGACTCCATCAGGCGCGAGCTCCCTGCGTTGGTTTGCTGGGCTGCCTGGCAGAGTATCGCAGATGGCGTGGCTGGCACACTGCAGTTTACCGTTTCACCATTCTGGAGGGAGAGGGCCGGGAGCAAGCTGTCCGAGGGCGGATTCCTTCTGAGGCCCTGAGGGACAATCTGTTTCCTGCCTCACTCCCAGCCTCTGGGCCTTTGCTGGCATCTTTGTTGCTCTCGCTTATAGAAGCATCACCCTGACATCTGCCTCCGTCTTCACGGGCATTCTACCCCTGTGCACACCTGCCGTGTCCAAATGTCCCCATTTTATAAGGACACCAGTCCTGTTGGATCAGGGCCCACCCTGATGGCCTCGTTTGAACTCGAGTACCTCTGTAAAGACCCCATTTCCAAATAAAGTCACATCCTGGGGTACAGGGGCTTAGGACTCTGACGTATCTTCTTTGGGGAGGACACAATTGAATCCCCAACACTCCCCAAGGGCGAGGACTCCTGTCGTTGTCTCCCCTGTACCCCAGTGCCGGGGCCTCACACACAGGAAGGAGGAAAGCTCCAGGACAGTGTGTATATCCTCTTGGTAAATCTGTTTGTGCACTTGTCTCACTGACAGTGAGGAGAGTCAGGGAAGTGCAGGAGTAAGAGCAAGACTCTGGAACCAGGCTGCCTGGATTTGAATGCTGGCTCTGCCACTGTGCGACCTTGGGCAGACTGCTACCCCTCTCTGAGCCTCAATTTCTGGATGTAACGGGATGATAATAGCATTACCCCATACAGATGTTATGAGGGTTAAATTATGAACATATGTAAAGCGTCTAGAACCGTGCCTGGTACATAGTAAGTGTTATAACAATGTGCACTACACAGTAATCAAGACAGCATGGTTTTGGCTTAAAGATAGCGGTACAGATCAATGGAACAGAGTAGAGTTCACAAAGACAAAAGGTGCCACAGTAAGTTGTGGGGAAAAGTAGTCTTTACAACATGGAGCTATAAGAACCAGACATTCACATGGGAAAAATAAAAGACAATGCTATCTCATTTCATACACAAAAATTAACTCCAATGGACCATAGACTGAAACATAGAAGCTAAAATTATAAAAACTTCTAGAAGGGGACATAGGAGGATGTCTTTGCAACCTTGGGGTGAACAAAGATTTCTCAGATGGGACACAAAAAGTGTGAACCATTTTTTAAAATTCGTCAATTGGATTTCATTGAAATGAAAATCTGTGACTATTTAGAAGACATTGTTAAGGAAATGGAAAGGCAAGCTACAGACTGGGGAATATTCACAAAGTACACATCTCACAGGGGACTTGAATCCAGAATATGTAAAGAACTCTTAGAACTCAACAATAAGGAGACCAACAACCCACTTGAAAAGGAGCAAAAGCCTTGAAAAGTCCCTTTCCAAAAGAAGATCTCAAAAAAGTCAACAAACAAATGAGAAGATGCCCAACACCGTTAGTCATCAGGGAAGTTAAAACTAAAAGCCACAAAGCAATACTACTATTCACCATAAGGGAGATTAACGTTAAAGTGACTGATAATACCAAGCATTGATGAAGATGTGGAGCAGCTGGAACTCTCACATGCTGCTGGTGGGGACTGAACACGGTACAACCCTTTGGAAAACAGTTTGACAGTTTCTTATAAAATTTTTACTATAACAGCCATTCTTCTCATAAGTTTCACCCAAGAGAAATCAAAGCACACATGTACACAGAGATTTGAACACTGATGTTCACAACAGCTTTATTCGTAAGAGCCCAAATTGGCAACAGCCCAAATGTCCATCAGCTGATGAATGGAGAAACAGATTGTGGTATATCCATTCAATGGACTATTGCTAAGCACTAAAAAGGAATGAACCATTGATCTCAAATGGTGATGAGATCTCAAAAAGGGATGACTCTCAAAGCATAGTGATCTCCAGTATGGAACTCCAATCTTATCTAGACAAATCTAGTCTATGGTGACGGAAGGGTGTCAGTAGTTGCTTGGGGCTGGGGAAAGGGGCTCAAGGAGACTTTGGAGTGATAGAAATGTTCTATAACTTGATGGGGTCATGGTTTTATGGGTCTATAAATTTGTCAAAACACACCAAACTGTACATTTAAATGAATGCTTTCTATTGAATCTAACTACACATCAAGAAAGTTGATTTTTAAATCCTAACCAAAAAAATATTTGACTATAATTATCCCACCAGAGGTCCTAGCACTGTGGGGTGGGCACTAGGTGCTGGGTAAGTGGTCACTGGCTGGATGAATGACCCCATGGCTCAGGAATCCCCAGGGGGGCTTTCCTGGGAGCATCAAGAGGCTGACAGTCCATCCCGGCTGACGTCAGTAGCCCTCAGAGGCAGCTGTCCTCCCTGAGTTAACGTCCTCACCCGTGATTTAACACTGAGAGGAAGCACCATGTTTGCTTGGATCCCTTCCAACAGGCTGCCCTTGAACAGGACTCAAAGGAGGCGGGAGGAAGAAAGGAGCCTCAGACGGATACTGCTTCCCACGAGGATGGAGAGGGTGGCATTGCTCTCTTCTCTCTCTTGCACGGCTGTTTCCTTGGTATCTCCCTGGACCAGCTTTAGAGAGGGTTTCCAAATCAGGGAGCTTTACGTTGACTCAGGTTACTGGTTCATCAGAGAATTTAGGGAAACGAAACAGCCAGATCCCCCGAAAGTGCTTGACAGTCGGCATCACGGTGTAAGACAAGGGTTCGCCATTGGTTTGTGTTTGGGGCACTCTTTCTGACTCTGACACCGCTCGGGGTGCCTTTGAAGAAACTAAAACAAACAGAATAAAAAAAGAAAAAGCTGAAATCCCTGAAGTCAGTAACAGGTACATAGTAATCTCAGTGGAACAGTGCGACACGTGTCAATCTCAGATCTTTTCATTTGGTTCTTGTGCTTTTCTGCACTGCTTGAATTCACAGTGAGCATATATTAGTTTTACAAAAATCATGCCATATTTCTTTAAGAAAAAAGTAACCATGAGAGATTGCTTGCGAGTGTCTGTCTGCTGAAGGGAGCTTCCTGTGGGATTGGCCAGGACGGAGGGCTTCTTGGAGGAGGCGCTTTAAACAGGGCGTTTACCAATGGAAAGGGCTGGATTGGCCTAAGGACAGGAAGAATGTGTGAAGCTGTGGAATCATATACAGGAGGCTGGGATACAGGTATTTTTTTTTTTTTTTTTTGGAGAATAAATAATAAAAGTTTCCTTCTATCCATTCTGTTATGTGTCAGAATACAAAATTCTGTCTCTTGCGAGGTGAAGGTTATTATCCCCATGTGTAGTGAAGGGTTAACTCAGCAGACGCAGGGTATCCAAGTTCTGCACGTTCCGAAGAAAGGACAGAACATCCTGGAACATCCTGCCTAGTAAGAGTGTCACTGTGTGCCCGGGCCTTGGCCCGTGCCGGTCACACTGAGACGGTCAATCTCAGTAAAGGGACATGGCTTCAGGGGCTGCAGTGGCGTGGCCTCCTGGTGTCACACCCCAGGATGAAGCTGGCGCTCCCAGGCACGGGCAGAGCAGGAAAAGCAGACCCTTCTCTGCCCGCTCCTGCCTCTGCGCCCCGCGCCTCGGGAGCCTGTCCCCGTGAAGCCCACGCCCTGGGGGCCTAGAGGAACGGCAGCCTCGCCTTCCACGGCAGGCTGGCTCCGAGGTAGGCTCTCCTTTTCCAGACTCCCTGGCAGATAGGCCCCCTGCCCAACCCCCTAAGGAGGAAGATTAGGAGGAAAAGTGAATGTATCGACACCCAGTAGGTGCTCAAGAATTGTGACCTTCTTCTCACGCCCTTTCTTCCTTTCTCATAAAGATCACTGCCTCCCTGGCTGTAGCTGGGGAGAAGGTGGTGGGGCTGAATCCAGGTCAAAGCCTGCCTTTAGCCGCCCACCAGGGCCGTTCCCAGCACCGCGGCCCCCTCCGCTTGCTGCTGAAGTGAATAATGACCGTCTCTCTCTGACCCTGACCTAGGGCTTGGTCATCGAGCGCCTGGGCCGGAGACCCCTCCTCATCGGCGGCTTTGGGCTGATGACCCTCTTCTTTGGGATCCTCACCGCCACGCTGACACTGCAGGTGAGTGGATGTATCTGTGGCCCCAGAGGGAGGTCGGTGTGGAGCTGGCTTCCGGTGTCACCACTCTGGGGCCCCCGGCTTGGGAAGTGCACACTCTCTACAGACAAGGCTTGCAATGTGGCGCTCCCAAGGGGCCTCTCAGCGCTGAAGCTGCAGGGCGCCCTGGAGGAGAGGAGGGTTTAGTAAAGGGTCCTTGGACCGGGAGACGAGAGACCTGGCTTCTGGTCCTGTCACTGCCACAAATGAGCTGTGTGACATTGGGCAAGATGTGTCCCCTCTCTGAGCTTCAGTTTACCCATCTATGGAATAGAGGACATTTCAGTAGACGACTCCTAAGACGCCTCTTCCAGCTGTCATGTTCCCGCATGGAGCGCCTAGCACTGCCACATGAGGCAATTGCATGACTGTCACGTCATTGGCTGGTGGGACCAGCAGGGGCTCGGGAGCCAGACTGCCTGGATGTGAATCTTGGCTTTCCCACTCACTCGCTGTGAAGCCTTTGGCAAGTCACTTAACCTCTCTGCTCCTCAGGCCCCATCTTTGAAATGGGACAGTTGTCCCCAGATCCGGGGGTGTTGTGAGGACTTGAGAAAATGCACTTCAAGTACTTGGAACAGTGCCTGGAACAAACAAGCGCTCGATGTTTGGGGTCGGACAGTGCTGTACCTAATTCTTATCAAAGAGCTGCTTTTTCTTTTTATGGAGATGAGAAAGTGTGGCATCAATATAAATGAATATGCTGCCCAAGGCTGCACAGCCAGTAAATGGCAGAGCTGGGATGAGAGCCCAGGATCTTGGGGCTCCCCTCTGCTACCCGTACGGTTCGGGGCTACCTGCATTAATTGAGCACCTACTCAGTACCTCGAGCCCCACTCCGCGCTAAAGGGAGCATGAGGCTAGGTCTCAAGGGCCAGTAAATCTTTGCAGTTTTCAAAAATGAATCCCTAAATGGAAAGCTGCCCGTTTGATCATCTGCCTTAGACATCACGCGTCTCAATGTGCCAGACGTCTCCAGAAAAGGCAGTACTAGCCTGGTCGTGTCTGCTGGACCATAGCTCGTCCTTCAGAAAGGAGGGACTGCTGGGCGTACTGACCGGGTGGGAGATGGAACCCTCTCCCTTGTGGGTGATGTGCTGGCAGAGACTTTTCTTCCCAACGGCCAGACCACGGGTGTCCTGCACAGGCGCCCTTGCAGGCTCCTTGGGCTGACCGAGCCAAGTCCTCAGAGGTCCTGAGGAAGGCAACTGGGCCATGTTCTGGGGCATCTTTTTGCAACTTGTGTCAGTGTGTGGAAGGGCTGCCTGGAGCATGGGAGCCCCCTCCAGGCCTTGCTGCACGAGGTTTCAGAGCTCCGCCCTGCTCCCAAGCAGCCCCTTAGAGAGCCTGGCCCTTTCCTCCCCCCAGAGCTCAGCTGGCTTCTGTGCTTTCTGGACTCAGCAGGCCCTAGATACCTGTTGCATACCTCTTCCTCTGGAAACCCTTCCCATAGCCGCATGTCTGAGTGAGGCGCCCTCCTCTCTGTTCCCAGGGACCCCGAGGGGCAACCCTGCACTATCACTTATCACTAAGCATTGACTTTCACTGTTGACTCATCTTTCTTTCCCTATAGACAGTGAACTGTGGGAGCGAGGGCCAGGGCTGTATCATTTCTGCATCCCCACCTCTCAGCCCAGTGCATGGCATCCAGGGGGAACTCTGAGCCATCTGCCAAATGAATGGATGGATGGATGGATGGATGGGTGGGTGGATGCGTGGATGGATGGATGGGTGGATGGATGGATGGTGGGATGGATGGATGGCTGGGTGGATGGATGGATGGGTGGGTGGATGGATGGTGGGATGGATGGATGGGTGGGTGGGTGGATGGATGGGTGGATGGATGGATGGGTGGATGGATGGATGGTGGGATGGATGGATGGGTGGGTGGGTGGATGGATGGGTGGGTGGATGGATGGATGGGTGGGTGGATGGATGGATAAATGAATGACTTAGTGCAGCAGTGAGCCATGCAATGTACAAAAACCTGCATCTCTCCTCTCAACCCCAGACCCTCCCAGCAAGAGCTGATGGACCTGGACAGGGAAGGGCCGCTCTCTCTCTCCCCTCCCTTCCGCTTGCCCTCCACTCTGAGTGTTTGTGGCCACCCCTGGGCCGTGTTCCTGTACCTCACGCCCTTGCCCACACAGAACGCTCTCCTGGAACTCCTTTCCTTTCCTTTTCCTCTCCACTGACTCCGGCTCAGCCTTCGAAGGTGAGCGCAGGCTCCTTCCATCCCTGAATCTCTCTAGACTGGGTTTGGGGTCCCTGGCACCTCCACATGTGCTCACCGTGTCCCAGCACTGGTGACACCATGTTCTAATTATCAACCATCCAGTCAGCTAGAGCGGGGACAATTCCCTAAACATTTTCCATACCCAGCACCAAGCTGTCTCATCCACCCCCGCCAGACAAGTGACAGCCCCTCCAAGCATATTTAATGACATGAGCTAACTCACCTCATACCTTGTCAGGATGGCAGCTGTAGAAATATGGTGTTTTGCATAATAATAGTGATAATGAAGAGAAATTTTTTAATGTCATCATGCCTATAAAAACTGCTCATCTTGTCTGCTTCAGACTAAGACCCCATCAGTGTTAGTTGTGTATTTACTTACCACTTACTGTGTGCCGGGGACCATCTCATTTCATCTTCACATCTGTAAAACACGCGGATGGAATGGCTTAGGGGCTATCATTAGCCCCATTTTATGGACACTGAAACTTGGGCTCAGACCTGTAAAGTGACACAGATGAATGGAGGAGGAGCTGGGGTGGGAAGCCAGGTCCTCGATGCACTGCTGCCTCCTCACCTGCCCATGTCGCTGTCCTCTCACAGGACCACGCCCCCTGGGTCCCTTACCTGAGCATCGTGTGCATTCTGGCCATCATTGCCTCCTTCTGCAGCGGCCCAGGTAAGGCACCCCTGCTTCCACTCTGGCTGGCCCAGGGGCTCACGGCACCACCACGGTGGGGGGTGCTTGTTGTCCAGATGGGGAGCTTGGGGCCCAGGGAGGGAAGAGAGAGTTCCACACCCATTTAAATGCAGTGACTGCCTTCATTTCCGCCCAGCAGATGGTGGGTGATGCGCACACCCAAAGATGCATTAATAACATCAACAGCACAGCAGCAATTAACTGTTGTGAAAGCTGTAAGCCAGATACAGTAGTTTGGGATGAATTGAAGATAATTGTGTTACAGTCTGTGCCCACGGAGACGTTACAGTTTAATGTGGAAGATACGATAATAATAATAATTTAGTGTCTGAGACTTAGTGATCACTGCCTGTGTACTGTGCTCAGCCCAGCGCTTGATGCACACTAACTCATTCGAGGCTCGGGACAGCTCTAGAGAAGGTGGAGATGGGAAGTGGCTTGCACAGAGCGAGCAGTGATGGAGCTGCCTGACTCCCAGCCCCGAACACCGCCTGACAATGTTTCTGCACGAGTGTGGACTCTGGAGTATTCTGAGCCTCAGTTTCCCCGGGACTCACCTCCAGCCCTAGCTCTGCCATTTCCTAGCCATGGTTGGTGGGAAAGTCCACTCGTCTTCTTGAGCCTCGGTTTCCCCATCTGTAAAATGGCCAAGATGGATGAGACTGAGGGCCCTGCCATCCCTGGCTCTGAGTCTGTGCCCTCAGGGGCCCACATGGGTGGCTGTGGTGGACTGAGAAAGTGGTCCGGGGCAGGCCCGACAGTGCCACAGATCCCTCTGTGAGGTGTTGCCGTGGTTCCTCTTTGCTTTGGTTTCTGTGTTGATGGGAGCAGCACGAAGTTTCCATCAGAACAAGTAGACTGGAACTTCTGTTTCTCCCTTTGCATTGCTGATTTTCGTGGGGTCATCATGTTCCATGTCCTATCACATTTGTGACAGATGAAAAGCATTTGTCCCCGTGTGGGACATCAGGATGTTAATGAGATGATGGAGTGGGCCTTGGAATAATCGACGGAGGGCATCAGGCATGCACCTGTCTGTGCATACACACCCACGCGGTGCTGTGATGATAGTCAGATGGCTGGAGGAAGCAGGCGGCACCTCCCAGGCGGGGTGGCAAAGTGACAGGAGAACGGACAAGGAGAACATATGCAGTGTAAGCAGATTCAAGGAGTACTTGTGTTTAGTCCTCCAGGGCCCCCAAACCACCCACTCCATAGGCACCATTCACATCGGTGCCCCTGGAGGCGTGAGGCCAGTGGTCCTGTGCTAGGCCTGGGAATGTTGGGGAGCAAACCCAGAGACAGGCAGGTTCTGCTGTCACGGGGCTTCTAGGCTGCTGTGGAAATCTCAGATGTCACCTGCCCAGCGAGGCCGCTCCTGACCACTTAATGTAAAATCAGCACGCACACATGCACACACATGTACACATATATGGACACACACGTATACACACACACATGCTGTCTCTCACATCATCCTGGTTTACTGCCTTCATAGCACCTCTCACTGGCTCATCTGTTTCCTACATACTCATTTGTTTAATGCAGGGATTGGCAAACTTTTCCTGTAAAGGGGCAGACAGTACATATTATTGTAGGTCACACAGCCTCTGTTGCAACTATGTGGCTCTGTGGTGATAGTGTAAGCACAGCCATAGACAATGTAGACAATGTGTAAATGAACATATGAATAGACATGGCTGTGTTCCAATAAAACTTTATTTATAAAAGCAAGTGGAGGGCCAGATTTGGCTGTTGGGCTATAGTCTGCTAATGTCTACCTTAATGTGTCTCGCCCAACTAGAAAATAAGCTCCATGAAAGGACCTTGTTTGTGGTTCATAATCTTATCCTGAGAACCTAGAGCTGTGCTGAGGACATGAAGTGCTCCAGAAATGTGTGTTAAAGATTGAATGAAACAGCTGAGGAAAGAGCTGGGCAGGGAAGACGTGTGCTCTTGTGAATGGGTGTAAGAGTGGAGCCGGAGCGGGCAGCAACGGTTCTCAAAATGAAGCCTCAGGGGAGAGAGGGGGTGGAGACAGCAGGACCCTGTTCTGCATATCCCTGAAACTCCTGGGGAGGAGGCAGCTGGGTTGCATGGTGTCAGCGAAAATACTGAGGTGACATTAGCCAATGGCGTGTAGTAAAGGGATGAGTTAAGCTAATGTCAAAATTTTTTATTAGAGAAAGAACAAAAATAATGTTAATTCTATGCAAATCAATTTCTCAAGCGATTTTGAGAAATTGAACCAGATTTTTTAAACCTCAAAGTCAAAATTGAAGAGTGTGTATTTGTCATCGTGTATCTTCAGCCACTCTTCCATCCATATGACAATGTACTGTGCATTTACTATAGGGTCTAACAATTCCTTAATCGTGCACCAAAAAAAAAGCGGTCTCATAGCTTCTAACCCAACCTTACTAACTTAAAAACAGTCCCAAGGCCACTGACCAAGACAGATGATCCTTAATATACTCCTGAGCGATGTCCTTTGAGTGTCTCGTGTGTGGAGTCGGAATTCTGAGTCATGGTGACAGCAGTGCGTCAGTCAGAGCAATGCTAGCTGCCTAGCAAATACACCCCAAAACAGCAATGGCTTACCACAGGAGAAACTACCTGCTCACTCGTGTGTGCATCCTCGGTGTCCCTGGTAAGTGGTGGCCTAGACCCAGGCTCCTTCTGTGTTGTGGCTCCAGCCGCCCCTGGGACCTCCTTGTCCACTGCATCAGATAGGCAGAAGGGGAAAACAAATGTGGAGGATGCTTCTTAAGAGTCTTGACCTGGAGTAACACCATCCCTTCTGCTCGTATTCCAATGGTGAGGACAATCACGTGGCCGGACCTAGATGCAAAGAGGGCTGGGGAATGGAGGCCCTCGTGGGCAGCCACTGACCAGCAACAGCTCTATACTGTGGAAGTGGATCATAACTAGCCAGCTCTGCTCTGAGCAGGGTCTGTGCTTGAAACACCAGCTTCCCCCGAAGTGCCCAGGGCTGGCTTGAGACCTTCTAGGCACGGACTTGCGGATGGTTTAATTATGACCAGAGAACTCAGAGAAGCAGCCAGGGCAGGCACTCTCACAGCTTGAGCTCTTCTAAGAGGGAGACAAGGGATGGCACCCCAAAAGTGATTTGGTTAATGCCAGAGGCAGTGGCTTAGGTCTCCCCTGGCACCATCCTGCACTGGGTGCCTTACACATCACCCCTCCTCCACAATTGTCTTGAAGTGAGGATTAACTGCTCCCATTGACGAGTGAGGAAACTGAAGCCCAGAGAGGTTACAAGGTCCCCTAACACGACACAGCTAGTGAGAGCTGGAGTCAAGATTTGAACTCCGATCTTTAATATCCTGTGCTCTTTTCCCCAATGCAAAGGATAGGAATTCACATCCATGCCCTGCACTGAGCTTTTCACAGCATGTTCCCTCTGTCCCTAATCTGGTCCTTACACCAGGCCTCTGATAATAGTAGCATATATTGAGCACTTACTGTGTGCCAGGTTCTGTTCTAAGTGCTTTAATTCTCATAAAAATACTGTGAATATGAGATAACACAGTCATTGGCAAAATAAAATCACAAAAATCAGAGGTTTCACTCAATCAAACTTTAGTAATAATTCACAGGATCCTGGGCATTGCAAGACACAGGTGAAGTCTGAAGCCTAGGTTCTTCCTTGCCGTGCTAGGGCGCACTGTGGTCCAGGTGGAATTTATGAGGGCTCTAAGAAAAACACGCAGGGCGTCACGTACACACGGCAACTATCTTGTCCACGAAAGTCTCCATTTTCTACTTTGATCATCACATAGCTGACACTGCCATTTTCCAGTGGGCTATCCCCAGAGCTGTGCATTCCAATCTAAGTAGACCAGGTATAGCCCACTAAAACCATTTTATACACTAGGACTCTCTCTTGTCTCTTTGCTAGTAAATTATGAGTTGGATTAGCAAGTTTACAAGCAGAATGGACCAGGTCATTTTTTTCCCCTCTCTCCCTGTCCCAGATGATAGAAGATGAGTTACAGATCAGTTGCGAAACATTTCCTTCCCAGATTAATTTTATTCCCATTTTATAGATGAAAAAACCAAAGCACAGATCGATTAAGTAATTTTCCCCAAGTCACACAGCTAAGAGGCAAGTGCTGGCTTTGAATCTACACCATCTTGTTCTAGGACCTGCAGTCTTAGCTCTCATCTGTGCACATGGTCAGTGCTCATTGGCTGTTTGCTGAAAATTGAGTGGAATTAGGCCCATTTTGAAATTGACCTGCAAGGCCAGCTGACCCAGAGGATTTGGGACAGGAGGGGAAGCTTCTGTTTTTATCTCCCGAGGCTGGGTCTACTCTGATCATCATAAATCAGTCCTGTTTGTGTCTACACGGAAAGATGTAATTTTGCCATTCGTGTCTAGTCGTCAGACCTCCTTGGCTGAAGGTGAATTCAGAGCGTTTTGATTTGCATGGTCTCCAGCTGCTCCTGCTTCAGAAATTGCACACAGAAGTCAGGAGCGGTGGTTCATCTTTGTCTCTTCAACTCACGGACACCTAAATCATGGCACTTAGCAATGAAATGAAGGCCGTGCTGACACATGCAGAGCTTCAAAATGAACTGAGGCACAACAGAACATGGAAACAATTTCAGAGCTGGAGGGGACCTCAGAAATCATTTAGCAGATGAGGAAATGTGCGCAGGAGCTGTAATGAATTAGAACTAAGGCAGCCCAAGTTTGTAAAAGGACATAGACCTTTTCTAGTCCAGTTACGCGTTGGAATCTTAAGTCCCATCTGTGGTTTCTCTGCCAGGAATTCCTTCAACTGTGACTTGATGGCTTCCATTGATGGGGAACTCACTACCTAACAAAACAGACAACTCTATAGTCCAGGGGTCAGCAAACTATAACCTGTGGGCCAAAGCTAGCTCATGGCCTGTTTCGTATGACCCATAAGCAAAGAACGGGTTTTGCATTTTAAAGAGAAAAAAAGAAG